GGAAACGTTGGGACCGCATGTCTTGTTTCGCAAGTCACGATCTTATACTGTAACTTGGGTAAGCATGTCCTCTATGAAATGAACCTTCGTTCAACCCTAGTAAACCTCCTATAGGGTCAGACAGCGCATGCCATATCTCAGAAGAGGTCGCCGATGCCTCGCTGAACGTTCCACGATCCATGTGGTGGAGTTACTTGTTAAACCTCTTCATGGGAATCATAACGTTGATTACGATGCTGTTCTGCATCGGACCACTTGACGAGGCGATCAACGCCGAGACACCTTACCTACAACTCTTCCTCAACACGGGCTCGAATGCCGTGGCCTATGTGCTGTGTATTCTGCTGCTGGTGCTCATCTTCAGTGGCGACATCACCGCGCTGGCGACGACCAGCCGCGAGGTCTTTGCGTTCTCAAGAGATCGCGGATTTCCATTCTCACAGTGGCTCAGCAAGATTGAACGCAAGCGAAACATTCCGTTCAACGCAGTATACGCGACCTCTTTCTGGTCCGCGGTGCTGTGCGTCATCAACATCGGCTCCACAACTGCGTAAGTAGGCCTCTCTTTCTCACGAACTCGGATGTGGAGAGACTCTGTCATTATTTCCTCAGAGATACCAGGCGAAGCTAACGAATATCGGCCAGGTTCAACATCATCATCTCTCTCACCCTGCTGGCTCTGCTCAGCACATACATGGTTTCAATCGGGTGTGTCTGTCTCAAGCGGATACACGGAGAGACGCTGCCAGCGGCACGATGGAGTCTGGGACGCTATGGGCTTGCCATCAACATGTTCGCTTTCTTGTATTGTGGCTTTGCCATTGTCTTCTGCTGTTTCCCGTCGACCTTGCCGGTGGACACGAGCACGGCAAATTGGGCGCCGGCAGTGTGGGCAGGAGTGATCTTGCTCAGCGTGATATCTTATTTCCTTCATGGAAAACGGCACTTTACACCCCCGGTCGTTTTCGTGGAGGGAAAAAGGACGGGGGGGCTTCAGGCCACTGAATGATTTGAGGACTGCCGAGCTTGACCACGAAAAGCGTTGGTTAATCGCGAACCATCAAGGGATGAAACCGCCACTGGTTCCTTTCATGCGGTAGCTCTGCTCACAGGGAATAGAGATCTCTCGGGCCATCTGTAGTGTTGGAGACCAGTTCTCATTTTTCAGGGTCAGCCTCGTCTGATCCTAAGCCAGCAAATAGCCAGCCAGAGATCAGACAGCTAGAACCGGATAAGAGAGAGGGAGTTACACTTGTCAATCGGCTCCGTCGAATGCTTCTGGATCTCAACTTTCTAGACCTCTCCCTCAGCTGATCCTGTCCTTCGAGTGACCAATCGGCCAAAAGAATATTGGGAAGGGCTGGTCCTCCATGAGCTGATGCCCAGAGGATTGTACCGTGGCGAAAGAACGGCAGGTCTGGAGCCAGTCGAGCACATGCACCTTGCCTCGCCTCATTCTCAGCTGTCTTGGCGTCCGCCCTCGCTAGCGAAGGGTATTCCGCTCACAAGGAAAAATGGGTGTGGAAGCCCTCTCCTGCATGAATGTTAAAGCAGAGGACGGGTGAGACTGTGGAGAGGCGAAGAGTGTCTGGCGGAGAAGTCTTTCCAATGGGGGATCTGCGCCAAGAAGCACAGGCGCCAAGAGTCTCGGCAGCTGAAGTCTTCTTTCCTCCGCCTTTGAGCTTGAACACGCTTTACTATTTCTTGATCCGACGATGGTGACAGGGACTTGTTGGACCAGCCGTTTCACAAAAAGTCTCAGTGAAGCCCGGGCACAGAGAAATCATGTCGTGCTTCGGCGGCTCTCTCCACCCCCGATCACTCCAGACGCCATCTCTCTGCATTGAGACACCTCTTCTTTGTCTTCCTCAGACACTTGTTTCCTAATGGTACCCGAGTTTGGCCAGATCCATGCCCAAAAAAAACTCACATCCAGTCAAGGTGGGAGTCTAGCCTCGACACATGATTTCGTCACATGCCCAATCAGGCGAGGTGGCCGGCCCAAATCGACCTGCCTTGCCCTGCTTGGTTGGAAAAGGTTTCGTGTTGAGCCTCGTATCAGTTGGGGTCCAGACTTGGGGTCCACCAACCCTGGCCAATACAGTCCAACCACTGGAGTCAAGCCTCAAAACTACTCGTACCTGGGCTTGCTTGTCGTCGCCTAACTGTCCAGCAGTGACAACGCAAAAGGAAGAAGCCGCAGGAGGCCTCAACTTCGTGTCCGTGCCAGACAGCCAGTTACACAAAAGCCTGATCCCGGGCGTTGGTCTTGGATGCTGGCAACCCTCCCCCCTCCACAGCGGTCCGAGTTCAGCGCAAGGGTCTGCTTGGATCCGGCTGTGGAAGTGGGAAGTGTCTTGGGATCAAGAGTAAGTATATCGAACACAGCCGCCGCAGGGCCGCATGTTCCTCTTTCCATGTCGGTATTCCTCACTTTCTTGAAGTTCCTTCACGTAGGACAGGGCGTTGCCCTCTAGCTTCGAGTTACTGATCCCAGCGTCGAACACCGTCGACAGCAATGATGTGGTTGGGGACGGCTTCTTCCTTGTGTCTGCTTGCCTTGCCCCTCGTGGCTCTTGCGCAATCAGTAGTCTACACTACCGACACAAACGGCTATGCGTACACTACAACTATCTACCCTTCAGATAGCAGTTATGATGCAACAACCACCACTTCCTCCTCTTATTCAACCCCGACCAGCGTTCCGGCCATCCAGACTGTACCATATACAGGCCAGGCCCTGCTCATCGGAACGTATGTTGACATATCCGAGTAATTGGACTGCTGGTATTGATCCCATTTGACCAGATGCAATGTCGCTCGATTTACCCTCCTGAGATTCCCTGACGGCGGCACGGTCGAAGTCCCACTCGTGGGCTGTTCCGATGACCGGCCAGAATGCTGCCCTTCGTTGAACTTTACACATGTTGAGCCAGAAGACACAAGTTCTTCTCCGTCGGCCACGGAGTCGAACGATGAAGACGACGGACATGAATCTACCACATCCTGGACAGGCACAACTCCCAGTCCGACTCCCACGGGGATCGTCTCAATGCTGAGCAACGCTCCTCTTACCATCTGTCCAAGGTATCGTCACTCTCCAGAGCTCCAGGGTGCAAAGATATGATCTGATTTTTGACCGCAGTGATATGGTTGACATCGACCCGGTCTGCTGGTGAGTCTCAGGCTTTTGCCCTTCTGTCTATTCATTGCTTGGTATGCACTGACCGAATTTACCAGTCCGATTGGCTTCACCACATACGACCAGAGCATTATTGGTAACCTCCCCTGTGTGAGCACTCTCACCACGACAATCTCGCCCGGTTCGGATGTGCTGGCATCCATAACCTCGATGGTATCGGCTTCTCTAGTCGCAGAATCGGCAACGACGACCCCGACTGTGAATGTCATTGTGAATCAGTAAGCCCAGCCTCGTTACTTTCCCTTTTCAAGAACCCGACATCGCCGTATTGAAGCTAACTCGACTCGCCAGAGTGTGGGCCCTGGGCCTTCCCTGTGCCGACGACGAAGAAGGCGAAGAGGAAGAAGATCACACCCATCTAAGCACGGGCGCCAAAATCGGGATCGGGGTGGGCGTCGGTGTGGCTGGTCTTCTCATCATCGGCTTCCTCTGGGCTTGCCTCGCCGTCCGCCATCGCCGACGGGCAAAGATGCGGAAACTAGAAGCCGCCAACACCGCAGCTGGCGGACCAATTCGCCCCGAGTCCGGGGCTTATGTGGCGGCACAAGAGAATCCCAAACACATGTCGGTGGCAACGTCAATGGGAAGTCCAAACATGATGCACCAACAGCAGCAGCAGCAGCAGCCGCCGTATGGCTCGCCCACGCACGGATTCAGCCCGGCATTCGGGTACACAGCGCCGCAGGCCCAGCCGCCGCAGATGATGCAGGTCCACGACGCTTATGGCCATCCGTACGGCATCCAGGCCGTCGGCCCAGGATATCCGCCGATGGGGTACCCGCAGAGCCAATCACCACCGCCCCCCTTTTACCCCTCAGGAGGCAGTTACGGTCAACAAGGGCAATACAAAGAGGCGCCCGCCGAGGTCGCTGGGGATGACGTCCGCCATCTCTCGCCTCGTCGAGAAAGCATGGGGTTGTCGGCCAGCGACACGCGCAGCCAGGTCACATCGACCACCGCGGTGGGCAGTTCGCAAGCAGGCGTCGAGCCGAAACCGCCCGCGGAGCTGAGTTCGCAGGGCAATCAGGTGTAAAGTAGCCACCAATGGAAAGGAGAAGAGGGGTAAGGAAAAAGGGGAACAGAAGGGAAAAGGCACAAGGCTGGTCATCTGACCTTATCAAAATGTTCGACCACATCCCGCACACTTTACAACCCTGCAAATCTAAGGTAATGTAAGGCGCTTTTCATGGATCGAACCGGGATTGGTCTTTTCTTTTTCTCTCTCTTTGCTCACGAATGGGGGATATGTATGTGGAGCTGCGGACGATGTGCTAGCTGGGCAGGCAGCGTGTGTAACTACTTGTCCATGGTCGACGAGTAAGCTTAATGTCCAAGCATTTGGTGCACGACATGTGTAACATACAGGTGCTCTCTTGTTGGATCAAAAGGTTCTTCTTTTCTTTTCCTTGCGATGCTGTGCGTACAAGAGGCCCAGGGGGTCCCGGGGCAACAGTTGTGTTGGCAATGTAAGGCGTCGCGGTGCACCTGAGGCCTTCGACCAGCATGGTAGCTTTCCCTGGCTATCGAGGAGGCTTCTGTCCTGTTCTCGAGAGGACCTCCCACCTTCTCTTCCCGTTTGAAATCCTCGCCCTGGGACACTTGGACATGATCCATACCGACCACAGAACTAACATGTCGCTGCTCCTCGATTTCGAGAACCGGTACATAACCGACTCTCCTCGCCCTGTGTCAGGCTGCACACGCACCTGGGGCGCAGGAGGCCGAAGCCCTCTCATTCTGGCAGCATCTCTTTTCAAAGCATGTCTTCAAGGAAGAGTATTTCATCTGCGACGCCGAAATGAGACCAGCCCCAGGGGATCGTCGGCGCATCGATCGCGGTGTCCGCTACTTGCCCACTGGAAACGAGATCATCGTGCTTTGCTGGCACGAAGCAAAGGGCGGCTCGACTCCTAGTGCAATCATGGAATGCGAAAGCCAGGCTCTGGACGCGTGCAAGAGAACTATCAATAGCCACCCATGGCAGCCCATGATTTACACATTCACGACAACGAAGACGTCAGGGAAGGCCTGGGAGTACCATCGATATGCAGAAGACATGTCTCATTTGTTCCACGAGCATTATATCGACGCAAACTCGAGCGAAGGGTACAGGCTCCGGAAATGCTTCGACCGAATGAAAGGATTTCCCCCTGTTATCCCAGCAGAAGCCCCCAATTCGAGCATTCCAAGTAAGCCTAATTCGGTCCTGACATTGGTCGATCCTGCAGAAGTCCCGACGCAGTTTCCTCATACCACAGTGCCGGTCCTATCCAGCAACCCTCTCTTTCCACGCGTCGAGACTTGCCCCGACCCACGAACCCCCCAGGCAGGCAGCACCTTGAGCACTTCATCGTTGAACATGGATGACTTCACCGAAGTCACGGCGAGGCGAACCACCGCAAATCCGAAGGTTTTGATCTACCAGACGGCAGATGGATGGAAGGCAATGGGACCGTTTGGTGCGGGCAAGCGCGATGGGGACGACATCTTCTACTCCTGGGAGAAGCGGCTCTGGACATATGTCAAAGATGTGCAGTAGTTTGAATTCCGTACTGTGCTGGGGGCACACGGAAGAAGAGTGGCGACATGAGACGTGATTGGCTGCGGAGGACAGGGCTGCGAGGGCTGAGACCTCTGCACAGAGTATTTCGATGGTCGTGGTGGCACATTCGCCCTCGGTCATACACGCATTCATTCATCCATGACGCGCAGCGTATCTTGCTCTCTCTGATAGCTTCACATCGCTTGTAGTAAAACTCAGCCTTTTCTCAAACCAATACAGTACACAGGCCCACGCACTAGATCCAGTTCAAGGGTCATCACCTAAAATATGAATTTGGTTACCATTTGGCCCAGACCACCATGCAATCTTCCCTCTCGTAGGAAACCTACACCACCCCTGGGCCTCCTCCTTTTTGCCGCAGGGTCTTGAGGGGCCGCGAATCATGACGTAGTGTGATCTTTCAAATTCAATGTTGAGAAATGAACAACTCTGCATCTCCATCTGCTCAGTCGTGTGTCGATCAAAACGAAACTGACCTAGCGCTTCACGGCTGCCGTCCGAGTACGTAAGCAGAGCCCCGAGGCATGCATCGCCCACGTCGACTATGCAAACTTCAAGCATTATGTTTGCCCCCAGGGTAGCCTTACTGAGACACCAGTCTCCGTTCGGAGGGCCCCAGATAGGGCGGGGAACAGGTAGACCGGTGGAAGTATTCCAACCTAGCCGTCGGTCACAACGAGTTGATGAGAATATTCCAATCTCGGCGAAGGCAGAAGTGGGGTTATAGACCGAGGAATGGAATAAGCCACAGATCGAGCCATTGTTATCCGCGTGTAAGGCTTCGTATAAGAAAAGATTCTCCTGTTGCGGCTGTGGCCCGAGGGAATATGCCCTATCAAATGTCGTTGCGATCTAGAGGCTATTTTAGTTATTTCCTGGTAGCAAGAGTTGGAGGTATACCTGGATGACTGGGTGGGTCAGAGGGAATCGAGGCCAATCGATCCAACGGATACCGATAGTGCGTATAGTCTCCTGAAAATGTAAAGGAAAATAGAGAAAATTCAACATCGAGCTTGGAAAGAGTGCCCCCACTGTGGCCGTGAATGTCTGGTAGGCATGCCGAGGAAGATTTCGTTGGTGGCAGAAAATGCCAACCGTCCTTGAATGGTAAACGGCCGTAGAAATACCGGAAATGTTCCTGAGATCGTGATACTCATATCGACGAAGAGAACTGCTTTCCAACAAGGGCATTGAAAATTGAAAGGCAGTCCCTTGATTTGGGGACGGTAATACATTCCATTCGATGACAGTGGGAGATTCGGCATCGATGATATTCCGGAGAAAAAGGCCCTGTTATTATTAGTGGAGACTTGAAGGGCAAACCGGCATACTCACATCAGAAAATGCAGAAAGCTTCACAGTTTGAGTGCCGACCTTTCGGAGCGGGACTGTATGGAAAAATATGCCTGCTTCGTGATGGTGAATCTGCTGACTATTACAGTAGAGACCACGGATGCCGAAGTGGTCCCTGCAGATAATCAACGTATCTTGAAGCTGAAGCACTTGACTCTGGCTAGGCACACGGTCAATAACATCTAAGCCCGTTAGATAATCACGACCCCCGAATCTGCTGAATGACATGTATAGCGTCGTTCCAGGCTTGACTTGAAAGCTGACCCAGCGAGGCGGAGAGTACATCTTGTGAATTGCAGCCACCGACGTAGCATGGTATAAGGCGATATATTGTGCAAAATGACCAAGGTAGGAGCAGATCTCGTCAATAACTTCAGACGGAAGTTTCTCGAAAAAAGGGAAAGGATACCATTTCCGAAAGGCTTCGGTCATATGGCTCGACTGATCAATCGAGGGCGGTGTCAAAGGTCTGGCAGCAACGAGACATATGAGTAGGTCGTCGAAAGACGGTGTCCCATTGGCATCTTGGAGCGATGTAAGATGATCTCTGACTGTATTAACACAGTCAGAATGAAGCGGGACTTTTTGGCGACGCTCTTGTTGGTAGCATATCGGACAAATAAGCGGCCTGGGTGGTGGCCACTTTGATACAGCTGTAGGTGTTAGATCTGTCCTTGAGGCCAAAGTTCCTCGACTTACCAGCATCCCTCAGGGGATAGTGGCAGAGCAGACACTGGAATCGTCGATCAGGGCAGCTGCATAACGTGACTGAGGCCATTGAAAGCGCACTGAATCTGGTGTTCTTTCATCTCTGAGGAAGAGAAATGAGGTGGAATAGGGTGCGAGGAAGGGGGCAGGGAGTACGAGGCGAGGAGGTACAGGGTGAGTGACACGTGAGCGGCACGTGAGCCAGATGGAGAAACTACGCGTTCTCACTTCCTGCATTTCAGCCTCGCACATGTCCAATGCCGGTATGTTCAGAAGTCATGGTTCGCCGCAGAAAAAAAGACAGGGATTCTATATGTGTGGATTTTCAATAGTTATTCAGAATTTCGTATACGCAGACCACGTAGGTCTACCGGCCGGCGGGAGCGTTAGTATCGGTCGCTGTGCTGTCCAATGTAAAGCTAGTTGTGACCCTGCATTTCCCGGCTTGACCACTAACTGGTGCCCATGGACTGTTCTCATTAAACACGTCAAAGCTTCGCAAGAGGCCCCAAGAGTCATGCGTTAGGACTCTTCTGGCCTCCGCCGCACCAACACCGTTGTTCCCCGTCTCTCTCCACCTGAACAACGACATCCATTTTCCTCTGCCGTAGATACATCGAGACCCGCTCTCTGACATCTTCTAGATCTGCATGCTGTGAGGCAATGATGTGAATAACACCCAAGACCGTAGGATCGGAGTTTTCGCCGTCACACTTCTTCCCATCACTGTCTTTATGTGAGTGAGAATGCGAATGTGAATGGTCGTCGTGCGTATGGGAATGACCATGGTGGTGGTGATGACCGGGCTCTTTCTTGATGTCTTCGAGCCAGAATTTCGGCACCGTGTAACCCACCACACCGCGGATTTCGGCCACACCACTGAGGATGTCTCGAAGGTTGTATTCAATGTCAGAGTTTAGTGACAACAGGAGGGTTTTTGTCGTTGTCGTGACAAGCGGGATAGTGGACGCAAAGATGAGAACGGCAATGATACATGATGCGAGGGGATCAAACCCGCTCCAACCGGTCCAGCGGACAAGAAGGGTCGATCCCACAACTGCCAGAGAGCCGAGTGCATCGGCCATGATGTGGAGATAGATGCCTTGCATGTTTTCTCCACCATGGTGGTGATCACTCGCTGCCCCTTGTTTGCCTTTCATCGGTGAAGCGGAGGCGATCATAGGAGCTCCGACGATTTCATGGTGGCTATGATCATGTTTATCATCATGATCATGGTCATGGTCATGATGACTGTGGCCATGGCTATGGCTATGACTTCCATGATCGTGCCCGTGTCCGTGCCCGTGTCCGTGCCCATGCCCATGCCCATGCCCATGCCCATGATCGTGAGCACCATGAAAAGCAAAAATGCCCACCAGATTCACAAACAAACCGATCGTGCTGACCACAAGAAGCTCCGCAGTTCGACTGACATCAGCACCAGAGAACAGCCGTTCAATCGCCTCATAGACGATCTCGATACTTATTAGCATCAAGAAAATACCATTGCCTAGCCCTGCAAGGGTATCAATCTTTCCGTATCCGTACGGAAATTTGAGACTGGGAGGCCACTTGCTCATGACAGCAGCACACACCCCAACCAGCAAGGCCACACAGTCGAAGAACATGTGGATACTGTCACTAATCAAGCCCAGGGATCCCGTCAGAACGCCATATGTGGACTGGACCAACATAAAGCAGAGGTTCAATATCATGAAATAGAATATTCGCCGGGACTCGTCGTCCTCCAGTATCCCATGTAGTAATGAGTAGCTTTCAGTCGAGTGAAGGAGGAACTGGGTGGGTTTGGAGAAATTTCTTTTGAAAGTCGGCCGCTTGGTAGCGCCAGGTGATGGATATGCAATCTTTTCTGTATCCCTTCTCTTTGGCAGAAACTGCGAACCCGTGGAATCTTGGGACGGGGCAGGGCTGACATATCGATGCTCGTAAAAATGGGTGTTGACAGGGGGCAACCGGTTGACGCTCATGGCAGCTTCATTCTGCTCAACGATGGAGTCAGAGGGGATTCGCGTCAAGGGGAAGGGGGCCGTGAGGCGGCTGCCCGTTCGACTTCGTTGATGGGAGCGTCCATTCAAGCTCGGGTTTGAATGTAGAGGAGAGTGGGAGTGGGAGTGAGAGTGGGAAGGACCATGAGGATGCCCATGCTTGCAGTTGTCGGTGGCAGCAACAGGCAGGGTGAAGGTGGCGCTCATGGTCCTTTCAGTTGGTCCTGAAGTCTGGGAGGACACTTTGGTGTTTGGTGAACATTCGCCCTCGTTGTGGCCGCTCCCAATAAAGACTCGACGAAGATGGTGCCACCAACGTTGCTGTGTTCACCAGGCAGCAAGGGATTGTTGACGCGACTGAGGTGATTTCCGATCTCTCGATAGGCGCAGGCGGGGGTTGAGAGAAGAATGGTCTGGGGAAAGAGATTACAAGGATAGCTAGCTATACATTTCTCGTCTAGTCTGCTGCCCCTGGCCAACGATGTCAGTGGGCAGCAGTAGCAATAGTAGCAGCAACATATTTCAAGGGGTAACAAACTCTGAAGGGTGGTGGAGAGGCCACGAGAGGCGTATCCCCATCCCGCTGCACCTCTGCATCTCGCGCATCTCGGCATGCAACTTCGCTCGTATCCATGATTGGCTTCCCTTCCCCTTTTTTGGGACTCTTCGAGCCTCTTCCCGCCCCTACCAACTTCGAGTCTAAACCGCTTCCATCTATCTGACCACCCTGGACATTCTGACTGGTCGACGTCATTCTTCTTTCACCTCTTTGGTGATTCTCTGCAAGACAAGCATCGCAAGAAGCAGCGACACCGCTCCAAGAGGATGCTATTGACAGTATTGGTGGCTATCTCCACCATTTTTACCGTTCTGCTACTCCTGCTCCCCTCCCCAGGACGTGCTGCGGATCAGCAATGTTCGGTCCAGGTTGTGGTGCTGGGCGATCTGGGCCGTAGTCCCCGGATGCAATATCATGCTTTGAGTATCGCAACCCACGGTGGCCGTGTTCAACTTGTTGGTTACAGAGGTGAGGGCTATAACTGCTCGAGACAGCCATTTTGGGCACCAGCCTAATAGAATGTGTCCAGAGACTGATCCATTACCCGAGCTGGTTGCGCATCCGGCGGTCACAGTGGTCCCGTTAACACCTGCTCCTCGGTGGCTTCAAACTGGCAACAAGCTCTTGTTTCTTCTATTTGGCCCACTGAAAGTTCTCCTGCAGACATGGACGCTTTGGAACACTTTGAGCTACGCCACTGCTCCTTCTAAATGGATGCTTGTGCAGGTATATCTTTGCTCCTCGTTGTTGCTGACTCGTGCTAATGAATCGTGTGTAGAATCCGCCCTCTATCCCTACTTTACTGGTTGTGACTGCTGTGTGTTTCTTTCGGCGGACTCGGCTCATCGTCGACTGGCATAATTTTGGGTATTCCATCCTGGCTCTGAAGCTCGGCGCAGATCACCCTCTGGTTGCCATCTCCAAATTGTACGAAATCGGCCTGGCGAAGGCTGCGACTGCAAACTTTTCCGTCACAGACGCCATGGCTCGAGTTTTGAAATCGGATTACAAGATCACTGCTCCCATCTTGACTTTGCATGATCGACCAGCCGACTTGTATCAGCCTTTGACAGCTCCCAAACGGATAGCCTTCTTGCAGCGTTACCCACTCATCCGAGAACATTTCAATGCAATTGTAGAGGCAAAGGCAAGGTTGATCGTCTCTTCAACCTCATGGACTGCTGACGAAGACTTTGGTCTTCTCCTGGATGCTCTCTGTGCCTACTCTGCCAGCGCCACCTCTTCCCATCCACATCTTCCAGAACTTGTCGTTGTTATCACCGGGAAAGGACCTCAACAGCAACGTTATCTCGACAAAATTCGGGAGTTGCGGTCTGCACAAGTTCTGGAAATGGTGAGCATCTATACCGACTGGCTTAGCTTCGAAGACTACGCTCTTCTATTGGGTTCTGCAGATCTCGGTGTGTCCCTACATACCAGCAGCAGCGGGGTTGACCTGCCCATGAAGGTGGTCGATATGTTTGGCGCGGGACTTCCTGTAGCGGGCTGGAGCAGCTTTGCTGCGTGGTCGGAGCTAGTGACGGAGAATGTCAATGGCAAAGGCTTTGGCAGCTCAGAAGAACTGGCAGACATCCTCCAGGACTTGTTTGATCCCAAATCACAACAACTTACAACACTAAAGGATGGAGCTGTGAGGGAGAGTCAACGGCGATGGGGTTCCGAGTGGAATCCAGTCGCTGGCAAGCTCTTCGGTCTAGCAACCTGATCTCAACCTCCACCGAGATAAGACATGTCAGCCCTCGATGTTACGAAACTCTCAAGGCTGAGAAGCCTGCGTCCGGGGGCACATCTCAGAATACATTGGGGCCTCGAATCTAATTCATTCCAGAGCCACCTCGTACTGATCTTTGTCCTGTGGTCCAGAGCCGTCTTGACAAGCAACGCTTGAACGCAACATCTTCGGCCCTCTTTGCTTGTTTGTTGAAGCTTCTACATGCCGAGCGAGATGCGTCATGGAGCACAATCGGCAGCTGGTTCTACAACGACTTGTGAAGAGCCAAGCCTGTCGGCGCACACCATCAAGAGAAGACCCAAAGTTGAAAAGCCGATGCCAGAACTCTTGGTATGCTCCTCATTCTGAGGAAGCTATTTGATTGTTCAAACGGCGGCGGAGATCAGCACGACAGTCTAGCTGCATTCTCAAGCAACCCTATCAAAGACGGCAATTAGCCGACATATCCGGATGGGCCATGAAGCCAAGACACCAACGCGAATGCTGCAAGGCGTTACGAACAGATGCACGCATTTATGCCCAGATTGATCATTAAACTCAGGAGATTATGCCGTTGGTCCCGCACGGGCTGTCAGATATGGCCCTCTTCTGCTCCTGCTCTGCATTGCCAAGGGCACGGAGGAGTCCACCTTGATCCTTTATGATAATAAGTCGTCGTCAGCCTGCTGCATAAAGGAAGACCCAGGCCTTTCGGAATTCTTGGTGGCGCGATACATTCTGTCAATGCGGGAAATCTTTCGAAGCGTGTGGTCAACATATCCTCGCAGAGAGGGATTAGCTTACTTTGAACCCATCCGTGAAACGCCACCTGGTGCCACGGAGTCTGGTCCTACATCATGACGGATCTCACTGCGGTAAGTTTCTGGAGAAACGATTTGGCGAAAACGCCAGGCATTCCTCTATATCTTGGCCGTGAAGTTCTGTCCTCCGGTCCTTGTTGCCTTGTTATAGTTGCTGCCTCTCGTCTTCTCGTCCGGCACCAGTCTTGAAGAACAGAAAGTACTCTGCTGATGGCGTCAATCCTTCAGCACGCACGGCGAGTAGCATGGGACAGCCACAAGCGTGATGGTCACCCTAGCCGTGGAATCAGAAAGCTGTCGCGATCGGCTCCATTGTCTCTGTTCATCGAAGCATTGGAAGCAGATGGCTGTGTGATAGTCAAGGACTTTACCGATGAAGCCACGCTTGAAAAAGCGGACTCGGAGGTCCACCCGTGGCTTGATCAGCAAGCCAACGGGGTGAAAGTGGGCGGCAAGTTCTCTCACTTTTTGTGAAACTTTCCACTCTGGCATTATACTGACTGGCTTCAAGCGCTTCAAGGCAAAACAAGAACGGTGACCAGGCTCGTCGGGAAAAGCGCAACGGTAAGAGAGAAGTTCTTTGCCGATCCGCTCTACCAAGATTTGTGCGAACATTTTCTGGCACTTGAGACGACCCATTACTACGGCAACAAGCCCGTTACCACGACGAGCCACCCGCTTCTCTCTATCGCAATTGCATTTGATATCCCTCCTGGCACCCCTGCGCAAAATCTTCACCGCGATGACAAGAATCATCATGCTCGCCATAGTCATGCCGACAAATACACGAAGGGACGCGACATACTGTTAGGACTGTTTGTTCCAGGGTGCGATACCACCAAGGCCAATGGTGCCACAAGGGTCGTTCCTGGCAGCCACCTGTGGGGCGACGATATGCCCGATTTCGGGGCCGATGGTACCCGTGGAGTTGTTGACGCAGAGATGCGCATGGGAGAGGCATTCATTATGCTGGGAAGTCTCTATCACGGAGGTGGAGCGTATGAGAAGCCTTTGGGGACGGCAAAAGAGGGCGCCAAGGAGAGCAGAACGGTCTATGCCATGTTCTCATGCACCGGCGTGCATCGGCAGGAAGAGGTATCATTTCTGTCGTATTCAATCGACGAAGTCAAAACATACTCGAAGATTGTGCAAGAACGACTAGGCTGGAAGCAAAGCGAGCCGAATCTAGGCTGGGTCGACTTGAAGAGTCCGGAATTCCTCCTTGCGCAGTGAAGATGCCAAGTGTGCGTTCTCATCAGTCATCAAGACTTGGAGCAAGCACGGTACAGCTGAATCTGACATCGCCGCTGCCTGCCTCCTCCTCACGTTTGAGGAATGGGAATGGCCCCAAGCTGAGCGCTTTATCGCTCAGGACATCTTCATCTTCCTCAAGCACGCCAAGATCGACCGGCCCTTTTCTTCTGCCTTCCAACTCCCACAGATGTCCGTCCTTTCCCTTGACGAATGCAATGAAAGCATGACCAGGATCTTCTCCTAGTGGTGGCGCGGTGCTATCTCCCGACTGGGCAGCTGCGGCGTGAGCAATCTCTAGCATTTCTGAGTCGTGAAGGAACTGAGCTCGCTCGACGGGCTTAAGGGGAGTTGTGTCTTTGATCAATTTGTCGAGGTCACTCCCTTCCTGGATGAAGTCGGCTGCGGTCCCGTTGGTCGTGCAATGGAGGAGACCAATGAGGCCACAGGCGTGGTGGATTGTTTGGCGGTAAAACATGACGGGTTCTCCGGGCCCTGAGCCATCGTAGCCAGCTTCGGCCTCATTAGACCTGTTGTAGTAGGCTTCGGCGGTTGCTGAGGTTGGGTAGGTGAACAAGAGAGCACTGGCTGGTCGAGGTAAAAATGCCAACAAGTCGGGATCAGTTAGGCTGTAGGCGTCGTGGAACGAGAATGCTGGAGATAGTCCAAGTCGATGGGCCAGTCTGGTCATGACTTCTGGGTTATTTTCTGTCAATATAAGAGGGGCGTGGATCAGCATATTTCTCCCGCACACCCAGGGTTGGGACTGAGTTTACCTAGTGGAATGAAAGTCTTTTGAGCAGACATCGTGGTGTTGCAGCCAGATCACAGAGAACTCTCTTCTTTCCATTCATCGACTAGGCTTGGAGTGAGGGTAGAAACAAAGGTGAAGTTCAGTTCAGCATAAACTCCCGATATTCAATGCATAAGGCAGCCTCGCATGACGTACCCAGGGGCGATGGACATACCAAGGCTGAAGTTCGATGCGGTGCCTGGACGCGGAGAAATTGGCCCTGCGATGACTTTATCGCGTCACACCATGCTCGATGTTCTTGCTTCCCAATTGCGTGACAGTGACCACGTCTTTGACTGATATATCTCCTTCGTGAAATTGACGACAAGACAAGCTTATGCTCGAGCATGCGGTCCCAACAATAACACTTTCTTCCTAACATTGGTCCTATGCGTGCCACCCTGCCTGGGCGACCTCAATCTAAGCGACAGGCCCTTTGCACCGCGCAGTGGTGCGGCCTGCGTCTGGTCGTGAGTTGGCTCCCACTCTATCATCATCAGTTGCAATCTTGACAGCGGCACTAGGCATATATCTCCGGCAATGCTGCCGTCATTCTCAGCGGCCCTCAGACTATTCTCCAGACCATCTACGTCGACACGGTTGATTCGCTCACGGCGATAACCCTCGAAGAGACCACCGGCCGGATAGCCCTTTGTGACGAACGCCATGTCTATATCTACAGACCCGTCGGTCACGAGGAGGGTGTGTTGAAATGGACTCTGGTCTACGAGTTGGACAATCCTGCTGAACTGCGGGTGGAATCTTTGTCCTGGGGATCTTCTCAAGAACTTCTACTGGGTGGTTCCAGGCTGGTGCTGTGGTTCATACCTGAGTCTGGCGCGCCGATGATCGTTTGGAACCAGCCACTGGCATATCCCACGGCACTCGCATACCTTTCTCCTGACAGCAGCTTCATAGCCTCCGTGGGCCAATATGACCGGCTCGTCAAAATATGGAGACGGCTTTCGTATGAAGTTGACGGCACCAGATTCGATGTCTCCTATCTACCACATCCGGCGGCGGTCACAAATCTGCACTGGCGCAAACCATGGCATCAGGAACAGAACTTGGACAACCTGCTCTATACCTTTTGCTCCGACAATCACGTCCGCGCCTGGACCACTTTTGATCCCCACGCCTTGACCGTCCTACAATTGGTGGGCGATATCAACATGTACTCCTCGATCCAGCCACGGAGGCTGAGTGCAAGTTCCATCAGCACGAAACGATATGCCTTTATCATCGACAGCCGTGACTTTTCGACGGCCACAGAAAAGGCTGTCCAGAACTCAATCGCCAAAACCGCGGACCATGCTCTCGAGCATCTCATCGAGATTGCCAATCGGAGTCCAGAAATCTGCGTCGTTCTCGACGGACTAGGTCACATGTCTGTGTGGGGGTTGGAAAATGCTGGGTACAAGAACAGAATACTCTCTTCTGTATTTCACATCTCCCACGTCGATGGCATGAATATCCATGTTCCACAGCTGAGCGACCCATTGGAAGACTATGTACAATTCTGCATCTTTGCCGGTGGCAGGACTGCATCGTCGGTGTCAATTCTCCTGCACTCTTTTGCAGGTGATATTGACTGGTACGACAGTCAGATCACGCATCTGTTCGACACAGCCGTGAGACACGACAGGACTGAACTGATTTCTACCCTGGCGGGACATGGTGCACCAGTCATGCGGATCGTTCGAAATGTGGTTGGCAATGTCGTGTTATCCAGTACAGACGACGGTAACACCAGCATTTGGCAGCACGAAGGAAAACTATCAAGTGCTCCCCTGCTGCGGCGGAGCTCATTTAACGTCACCGTCGAAATCAAAGACGCCGTTATCTTGTCCCGTGGGAGATACGCAGCAATTCTGAGTCGCCATGGTCTCGAGCTGTGGGACATTCGCGAGGCAAAAGCCAAACGACTCGGAGTTTGGGAATCCGAAGGGAACCGCTTGCCGATGCGCATTACACAAAGTCGAATCGCTAGCGAACGAGAACTCACCAGTCGAGTTATTGTGGGGTATCATGCAGACGGGACCGTGGAGGCCTGGGAGCTGCTGCTTCCAGCAAATGAATCAGGCGCAACAAATGGTTATCGCGAGATGATACGATCATTAGGGGACGTTAGTCTACACGTCCACAATCGATACAACTCCCTGATCTCCGTTTGTGACAATATGAGCACGAACAATCGACCCACTGATCCGCGCGAGATCAACGCCCTCGGCTTCGCCGCAGCACTTGCCAAAGAAGGAACCCTGGAGATGGTCAGATCCCAGGAAGAGACAGATTCCACAAAGCCACATCTCTTCTCGGGTGCTTTGATCGAGACTAATATTCGCCGGCCCCAGGCGATCAGCGCAAGCGGCTACGGCAAGATTGTGGTGGTCAACGATGACAGTACGAGCCTCAGCATATGGGACGCCAAAACCGGTTCGTGGGAGTATGAACATGAGCTCGATGGAACCGACACAATTCATTCATTCGCATGGGCTGTCTCACCACAGGGCTTTGCTTTGGTTGCAGTCTGCTTTGACTATCACATTGTCATTCTAGGTCAGGTCCGATATGCTTACCGAGAGCGTGAGTCGGCATGGGTAGATTTGCGGCACATCAGAATAAGAGACTTTACCACCCACTCAATTGGGGATTTGTGCTGGCTAAAAAGCGGTGATCTCGTTGTGGGAGCTGGCATCCAGCTTTTCATCTTCGAGGGATACGCTAGGAGTCATCACAACCAGTCCGCCAGGCCTCTTCGAGATGTGCGAGCAAAGATGCGGACCAACGAAACTTTTGCCATGATGGCATTGTTGAACACTTTGGTCCCTGTCTTCCACCCCACGTTTCTCACCCTCCTTACATGCATCGAAGGGTTGGCAGCAACGAAGGACGTGTTGTATCATCTGCATCGGGATCTCAAGTACTTCACTGAGGAGGATGAACTGTCCAGCCTGCTTAATATCGAACCCGACAGGATTACAAGTGCAGCCAGCTCGACCCAAACGGTCGACAAACCATACTATACCACGAACGGTGATCTAAACGGGGACACAGAGAATCTACCGGTCTCAGATTATGCAGAAGGTCTAGAAGGCAATTTGCGACGATATAGATTGTGGCAGCTCACCAACAAGGAACAATCCGAAATAGCGAAACAGGTCGAGGTTGTCTCCGAATTAGAGAAACACGAGGAGTCGGTCGATGCTAATGGTCAGCGCTACCTTCACGCGCTGTACACGTGCGGCGATGAAGGCGTCCCATGGAGTGCCATTGCATTCGCGTCGTTGAGCACATCCCAAGAGATTCTTGTTGACTTGGTCACCCGCCTGTACGGTGGCAAACTCACCTGGGATGCTGCGCGTAAGTCAGGACTGTTTTGTTGGCTCTCCGATGTGGAAGCTCTTCGACAGCAAATGGAGAATGTTGGTCGAATCGAGTTTACAAAGAACGAAGACCGCAACCCAGTGGATTGTTCACTGTATTATCTCGCCCTTCGCAAGAAATCCGTCCTATTGGGACTTTGGAGAATGTCCATCGGGGTGAGAGAAAAAGAAAATACCATGAAGCTGTTGGCGAACAACTTTGACGATCCGAGATGGAAGGCCAGTGCGCTGAAGAACGCGTATGCCTTGCTCAGCAAACGGCGCTTTCACTACGCGGCTGCCTTCTTCTTGCTAGGGGACAGTCCGTGGGACGCGATCAATGTCTGCATACATCAACTACAAGATTTGCAGCTCGCCATTGCTATCGCGAGGGTCTACGAGAGCGAAAGCAACAAGCAATCCTCCACTCTAGCACGGTTAATGGAACAGACCGTTCTACCCTTGGCAATTAGTAGCGAGCAAGGACGGTGGATGGCAAGTTGGGCGTACGCGGCGATCCTTGATCAAAAGGACATGGCCATTCAGGTCTTGGTGCACCCTGTGCATAAAATTGTGGGCAAACCATTGCTAGACAGATACGAGGGGGAAGGGATGGTGGGATCACTCAGCTACGCCGCAAACGACCCTCTTCTGACACTGTTATACACCCAACTTCGCGCGCAATTGGTGAAGTGCAACGAATGGCGCAGCGAGGTCATCAGCGCAAGAGATGAGTGGGGATTCGTCATGCGTTGCGTGAGGCAGTATATCCACATGGGATGCGACGTTCTTGCCCTGTCCCTCGTCCGAGATTGGGAGTTTGTCCCCGAAACCCCTGACCGGACGGTCATACCGGATGAAGTTCCACGGCCGCCTAGTCCGGGCATCCAGCGGCGCAAGACGTTCTACGATCTCGAAAAGGAGGAGGACGAGGAGAATCTGCCCCTGGCCGAGAAAGCGAAGGAGCAGACAAAGAAGAAGCCGCCGCCGCCGCCGCCCACCATGTTTGAGGAGCCGAGCGCCGACAGTCTTCTGGACAGTTTTGGGTTTTGATTCTCATGTGATCGTGATTCTGATTCTGAGCGATGGGAATCACAACCGATTGTTTTAGTATTTGTTTTAGACAGACTTTGAGCCACGAAATTCCTATCGTCTTGTTCTAGTTGGTCCAACCACCCCGTCCACGTCCCACGTCCACGTCCACGTCCACTGCCTGTTCGTTCCTTTGGGCTGTTTCGATGGGAAGACTGGAGATACGAGAGGCGTAGCATTGTCATATTGTTTGTTAGATATTGCATCAGTAATTCGGTGCTCCCTCGAGCAGGCTCGCCACGACGAGACGAGGAAGGATAACTTAACAGTCAGGAGATTTTCCATTCTTACACTTGACAGGATACTTACTATATATACTGATCGAGTACAATACTCGTAGGTTTATCCGTGGTGGTATGGATGGATGGAGGTCTGATATATATATATATATATATATGTATTTGGGTTACCACGTGCCAATTCATTGTAGTGCTATAGATAATAGTAGTAGTAGTAGTGGTAGGTAGTGCTGTTGGAAGGGGCGGTGGTATCTACTACTGACTGGTACAACATGACGAATATGTATCTACTGTATCTATCCGTCTACCTACGTACATACTTGCCGGCCCATCCATCCATCCATCCAGCTATCCTGTCTCACGTCGAGGTTGTGTGTATACATATGTACATGGGGTGGAGGACGAGACCGTGTAAGAAAAAAAAAAAAAAGGAATGGGTGGTTAAAGGGAACCCACATCTGCTCACGCGTCCGTCGGTGATGGGAAACGGTGGGTTATCCATATACTGAGGTCTCCAAACCCTCCAGAGCGACTAGTAAGAAGATGAGGACGAGAGAGATTACAATGATAGGGACGACGACAACAACGGTAAACGTATGCAAAGCTCACACACCAAGCTTTTCCGGATCGTCGCCCTGGTCTTCGACGGCCCTCTCGTCCCGGTCGATCTGGTCGACCAACATCTCCTCGCGACGGAGCACGTCCTCGTCCAGATCGACCCAGCCAATCTCCCTCAAAATCGGGCCCGTCATGTGCAGGTACTTGAGGTGGCCGTCGACGCGGGCCGAGAGGTCAAAGTTCTCGACGCCGACGACGCCCTCAATGTCCTGCAGGCCCGCCACCGATATCTGCGCGCTGCTGGTGCGGTACAGGAAGGCGAGGATGTAGTCCTGGCGGGAGTAGACGTTGACGAGGCGGCCGGCGACGACGGAGCGCATGGCGCGCCACTGCGCGGCGTCGGCGGGGACGGGCGCGCCCATGAGCACGACGTGGTCGACCAGACCAAAGGCCCCGCGCTTGGCCAGCGTCAGCAGGCACGAGTAGACGACCCGCGCGCCCAGGGACTGTCCGATCAGCGAGACAGGCCGTTCTCCTTGTACGCGGTTGATGAGCGCGTCGGCCAGCACCTCGCCGGCCTTGACGGCACGCATCTTGGCGATGCCAAACGGCGAGTCCACCAGCCTGATGGCCTTGCGGATTGCCAGCGGCGCCATAACCGCCGACCATACGGCCGCAAAGATGGTCCGCTTGATGAGCTCTCGCCGAATCTGCGACCATGCCTGGCTGACCACAAAGTCTTTCAGCGCGGACCCCAGATTCAGCAGGGCTTGCAACTCCCACCGCAGCGCGAACGGTTCGCCGCCCTCGCCCAGCACGCGCCAGGGCAAGGTGACCTGTTCTTCCTCGGTCAGCCAGCCGGAGATGCCGACCGTGATCCGCAGCCGACGCCGCTGTTTTTGGACTTCTTCCGCGTCATCCTCTCGGCCATTGATGGGGAGGAAGGCAAAGTCGTCGATCTCCTTTGAGTACTTGTCCATTGCCTGGCTGGTCATTCTCGCCCCGTAGGCGCCGAACAGGCCACCCACAAGCACCGAGCTCCCGGCCAGGGCGCCCAGATACCCTGCTGCGGCGGTGGCCCCAAGCCCCAACCCGCCCATGAGTGTGCCCACCCCAGCCGCCAGGAGAGGCGCAGCGAGGCCGCCAGTGATTCCAATCAGTGCGGCCCCAGCCACGCCGGCGACCCCGATCTTCCACTTCCTCGCCGTAGACGATGCCTGTTGAGCCTTCTGAGTGGATTCGCTGGCATCCATCTTCGCCGCAGCGGTCAGAAGGCCATACGCTGTATCTTTCTCCATCTTGGACACTTCTCCAACGTTGACGCCAAGGGACATGGCGAGACGTACAAGGAGGACGCGAGAATGGGCACGGTAGGCTTCGAGACTTAGCAGGAGGAGGAGGATTGCCTTGATGATTGTCGAGCGTTCGCCTTGGCTCAGATTTGCCAGCGGGGTCTGTACTGGCGGAAACACTTTGAGCAGCTTGCTGTTGGCTTCCAGCTCAAGATTGGATGGCTGGTACTGTTGCTGAGCGGCCTCGGTGGCAAGTCTGCGCGCTTGTTCAAGATTCTTGTTCTGCACGGCTTCGTCGCGAGAATTGACCACCTCGCCGACGCGGAGGATAACGCTTTCAGCCCAGTTGTCGAAAAAGGCCAGTGCCGCACTCTTCAACGCTTTGGATTCAGGAGTGGGCGTCGTCAGCAGGGTATCTTGCGGCTCTGCTCCGACGCCTCGAGGCTCGTCCTCATCAACGCGGTTTTCTGGACTCTCCAACGAAGCCTCTCTAGATTGTTCGTCAACCTCCTCACTCTGCTGCGCCGACAAGCTCAACTTCGAGACCTCAGCGGCGGCCTTGTCTGGTTCAGCTTCTCCCGCCCCCGTAGGATCCGCTTTCGGTTTAGGTTTCGGCCGCTCATCAAATGTTCGCACAAGACTTCTCCTCATCTCCTCGATGGTCTGAGAGATGAGCAATGTCAAATCTGCCCGCTCTTCGCGGGTGAGAAGGGTCCCTAGAGACTGGTCGTCCTCTGCTTTCCGTTGGTGATCGCCGCCACTGTGGGGACGGCTGAAGCCCCCCGGCCGCTGCTGGGGGATGGCGGCATTGACCCTGTTTTTGAGAGACGAGAGTGAAGGCATCCTCTCTGGTCTGCTGTCTCTCAAGAGGTATTTCGTGGTTGGTTTAGTACCGTTTTGGGCGTGATATTGACCGATGAGAAAGCATTGTCATGCTACAGGGGAAGATTGAGACGCTCTGTTATATGAGGCTGATGAGGTCAAGAGTACCGAGTACTCGCGTAAATACTTGAACTTGTAAGCTGACAAGCTGTGACGTGTGCCAAGAGCTTCACAGCCTTGTCGGTGCAGGTCATTGTGACAAGGCTGCATGACATGTGAAGATACTACGAAGACGCTCCTTGTGGGTAAAGATGTATTTTGTGGCTTTTGTTCTCCTGGTGTAATCATCTAAATTCTGAGTAGCAGTGTGTTGGTGAAATACAAAACCCCGTAGATACCCTCCAAATGACGGCATTTGACATGGCAGAACCTCTCAAAAGATCCTCAAGACATTCCTTTATACTTCCCACAGCTTCTATACCATTTGTTCTCGGTCATTCTTCTTCACTGACCTCACTCTCATCATCTTGTATAGTTCCATTCGCCATCCCGATGCCCAAGCCAATACCCCTATCTTCGTTCTCGTCCTCTTCTTCCAAAGCAGCCTCCAGTGCAGCTTCGAGGAGATCTTCATCATCGTCATCGTGGGAAACGATTGGTTCAGGGGGTGTTGGCGGGGCTTGGTCAATCTGCGGTTGCTGTTGGTGTGGTCGATGACCTCGACTTCCACCGCCATCGTCCTCATCCGAGTCATGCGAATCACCATCTTGTGCCATCGAAACGTCACCTCTATTTGGCACAGCAACGCTTTTCTCCCTTGGGCTGCCTAGCTCGAATTCTTCGACATCTTCATCTTCGTCCGCAGAAGAGGCAGCTTCGACATCTTTCATCGTCACGTCCCTATCTCTATCTCTATCTCTGCCAGGGCGACCCCTAGCAGGCTCCTCCACAGGCCGTTTGGGATCCGGCCTTGAAGAGGACCGGCCAACATTCGAACTGAGGCCACCAATTGGTGTCGCGGTATGACTGCGAAACATCTCTGGGTCCACTCTCCCGCGTCGAAAGCGGCCGTTGTCCGGAGGGGGGCTACCCATGTCGATTTCCAAGTCGCCATCGTCATCGTTGATGATGATATGGGGTGAGCTGCCGATATTGCCTGAGACATTCCGAGCGTGCCCTTTTCCGGTCTTTGGCTGATTTGGTCTGGTCGCGGCTGCGTTCGTTGGCTTAGAAGCAGCTTCATTGTCTTCATCAGAGTCAGAAACGCGGGCTTTACTGAGTGGTTGGGTAGACTTAGGAACGTCTCGCTTAGTGGACGCCTTGGCAGCTGGGGCACGACCAGCCCCTCGGGATACGTCTTCGGGCTTTTTCTTTCGCTGTTGAGATACTTTGGAGGCAGCCGGCACGGAGGTTGGTCGAGACTGCGGTGTAGTAGGTAAGAATCTGTTTCCTGGAAGAGCAGGCGTGGATGTCCCACTCAGTGGAGTTCGGCTGCCTGGAATAGGCGTACGGTTGCCCGGTACGTTTGATGACTTTTCGAAAGTTTCGCGTGCTTCGGCCAGGAAATTTCGGAAGTCGTAAGGGTTGGAAGGATCTGGGGTCTCGTCATCCGAAGGCGACGCTGGAGGGGCTTTTGCTGCTGACTGTTTTGTCGACGTCTGAGGCTGGCCAGATAGTTGTGGCAGTGCCCGAACGTCTGTAGACGACATGCCCGGTGCCACCTTCAGGTTCATGTCCAGGGACGCCGAGATGGCTTCTAGGACGAAGGCCGACTTTGCCCGGTCGAAAACGAGAGCTAGGGACCTCGACTGATCTTCAGGCGCTCCGGATTGTTCCGCAGGCGATTTGCCAACATACTGGTACTCGGCGGAATCACCGTCAGATACATCGAGGTGGTATCGCTCACCAGCCTTTCTCAGGCGACTTTCTCGAGTCTCAAAACCGGATTTGGGTTGCCAGTTGTATCGAATGTTCAGAAACATATCCTGTGCTTTTGCATCGGTCTTGAGACTGTCTCCAAGAATGATGGGATAGTCTCCCGACTGCCGGGGATCCACCAAGCCTGAAGGCTTGCTCGGATGGATGGCAGGCGATGCCATGGTGCTATTCTACCAAGTCACGGTCCTGATGGAGAGTAGAGATAGCCAAAAACTTGGGGAGCGGAAACTCAGGCCGGGGGGATGAAACAAGGCTAGAAGAGGCGCATAGATCGGCATGAGAATTGTCAGAGATAGCGAGCGAGCGACGACTGTGGGGTAGGTGACATCTCACGAACAGAGAGTCACTGGAAGATTCGGGGTCAGTCCATCGTTGGAAGACAACAAGGATGGGACATGGGAAAGTGAGGAGTGAGTTGCTGATGACATAAAGGAACAAGGGAAGGTAAACCAGGAACAAAGAAGTTATCCAGTTAAAGGACGCGGCTCGGCGGTTCTTCCGGCTCCGCTTCGGCTAAATTTCCCCGAGTTAAAAATAATTACTTCGACCCGCACACATTTTGGTAGAGCACATGCTTGTCTCAGCCTCGTCCATATTTGTAACAACAGCAATTGAATTTGCGAGAGGGCTTTCTGGATTCTTAGAAAGACACAACTAGTACTTGAGCATGGTAGGCAGAATCATCCTACCTACGTATGGTCCTCTCATCGGCGAAACCCAGATGCTGGTAAGCCAGACATATCAATACCGCCGATAAGCCCATTCTGGTTCTATCAGAAATCACCCAACCGAAAACTAACGAGAGGTTCCGTCCTTTGGCACAAACCTGTCCATCCCACCCGCAGATCTGCCATATGCAGACAAACCTGATCTAAACCCGACCCAGAACCGCATATCTATTCTTTGAGACCTGGTTGTCCTGCACGCCTTGTCAATTGTCTCGCGGGTATCACGAATCAATCATTTCGTCATCATTGTCATTGTCATCATCACATTGTCTCGTCGTCTTCTCCGCAGAAACCCGGTCAAGATGTGCCTGCAAGTCACCAATCAATCTTCTCAGCATAGAAGCCGCGCCACGACTCAGTGGTTTCAAAAACACGCTGGTGTCGTCGGCCTTTGATCCTGCCGAGTCGACCAACGAGTCATCTTGATTCGTTCGAGCCTCTTCAGATCTCTGTAACAGTAGGTTTCCGCGCTCAATGACGTTCCCAAGCAGGCATTTGCTCGGATCCGACATATCATGCGGCAGATATAACCAAGCGAGTATATCTTCCAGCCCACCTGGAGGGCGGAGCAAAGCGCTTTTCACAAATCGCCTAGACATGGCGAAGACCTTTTCACTGTACGAGTCCGATTCCCTTGCATATGCCTTGTCATGCTCATATCCTTCAAATCCTGCCTCGTTGTAAAAGGGTCTCTTCACCAGCACCAACCCTTGCAAGGAGACAAGCACCTGAAGCAATGTTGCCTTGTTGCTCCATTTCTCGCTCTCGTTTTCCCCGGACCAGGTCCCCAACAGGCTCAAACAAACCTTGCCTTCTTCGTAAAGGTTCGGATTGATGCGACCAAGTCCACCGGTCCAACTGTGGAAATGGGCCACAGGCGGTTCTTCCGGAAACTTGGCAGGTAATTGTAAGTCGATCAAGAACGGCGCATTTTCATAGGGCGTATCTCTCGGACCGATGATGAGGCAGCGCAGGAGATCCATTCGACTCTCATATGTGCGTACATAGATCTCACCTTCCGGGAGTGACGTGGCCAATATCTGGTGTTCTATGAGGAGACGTTTGAGGCTTAGCTTTGGCGGTACAGTGTGAAGTCCGAACTGATCAGACGGAGGCAGCCGATCAAGCACAAGAAACTGAGCAGGCTGTTCAGATCCTGGCACTTCCTCTAGTTGAAACAATACCGGTCGTGGCTTCGTTGTATCGCCTTGTTGCTCGCCACTGTCCACCCTTTCCTCATCTCTGTCTTTGCCGTGTAAGACTTCTTCAGCGTCCTCGAATGCCACGTCCTCGTCAGACACCCAATTTTCATCGCCGCTGTCATTGTCGAGACGTTCCCCGCCTTCGTACTCCACGGTTTCCAATATGGGCCGCGGAAAGTCTGGCTTAAAGATGGAGTCAAATCCACTCCAACCACTCAAAGAGTCTAGGTCCACAGGACCGTCATCTGTCGAGAAATCGCCTGGCATTTCCGGCCGGCTGCCGAAAACTGTAAAAACCGAGTCGGCATCGACGAACACGTCTCGACAAGGCTCCGATGTTCCTAAACGAACCCTAACGAGGCCATCGAGTCCCAGCGCAACAACCTGGCCAATCCAGACAGGAAGCGAGGGCTCCGCTGGACCCCGATGTTGTTCTGTGCTGGTTCTCGTTGCCAAAGGAGATGCCTGAGAATGCTCCAGCCGAATGCGTTTATTGGTGCCGGAACCTGGAATGTGCGAAGACGTCGAGCCTATCCTGGCGTGATCTGGCAGGGAGGATTCGGAAAGCACGTCATGTGCGAGTTTGAGCGGACCCGGAGCTGGAATGAGACAAATATCACCTCGTTGACTGAACGACAAAGGGAATGCCATGATTTCGAAGAGAGACACATCTTCAATCTCATCTCCTATAGCACCGAATCGAGAGCTCGGTGCTAGAACCAGGCTTTGTGCGAGAAGTTCAATCTTAGGTTCTTGGAACCACCGCACGCGAGCGACCTTCTCGATGGGATCAACTGACTGGACCACGCCCACAGCGGCAGGGAGCAAATCGTGGGGCCGCTCAAAGAATGCCATCTCGTCGAAGTCTTTAAGTGCATCGCGTGCTTCCCCCTTCTGGTCAAGTGGTCTTTGCCGCATCCCTTCTCGTCTGAACACAATGTCCGTAGGGAGGATGTCGGCTTCGAAGAGGGCAAAGTTTGTCAGAGACGTTGAATTAACCGTAACGACGCTTCCATCTTGCCACATGACAGTAGCAGACTGTTGCATGAAAACAATCTTATACTCATCCAGATCCCAATCACCAGATGCATGTTTGGTCACCCGGTGAAGCATGCCATGTGTGGACCCCTTGATCCCATGATATTTTACCGCAGCTGCCGAAAGATCGCGGAACCTGACCCGCATGCCAACTTCCAGCTGCTGCCCTGAGTAAAGTTCTCGGAGATAGTGGGATTCGGGAGGGAGTGCCTGAGCATGGGCAGATCCCGTTTCGATGCCGTGTTCGTTTTGACGAAAGGACTCGACAGGCATTCTGCCAGCGTCATAGATAATGACATCCTTCTTCAGGTGCATCTTTGGAAACCCACGGAAAGTCTGAATGTCCTTGTAGATAGATATCGTCTCCTCGGGCACCGATGCAGCGTTGAATGTGTCTCCTCGCCGAGTTCTGCCGGAAAGCCAATCGACTGTAACCTCATGAGCTCGACAATCAAGGACGATGCCTTCAGAAGGGACCTTCGGATCGTAGGAGCCACGTAACCATATTGCGTTCCGCAGATGAGGACGATCCACAATGACATAGTCACCCCGTCGTGGGTGTGATACAGGAATAGTGTTTGGCCAGCCGTGAGTCGGTGCTACCATACCAGGCAGCCAGAGCTCAGGAACTGTAATGAGAGGCATCTTACTGGGGGCAATAGGTATACGCAGGCCGACAGAATTAGAGATGACTGCAATGGAGAAGTCGGCCAGCATTACCACAGTGTCGTACTCGGCGTATTCCACCTCTCCAGGCCATTTGCGATGTATTATCCAATCCTCTGGCATGACATCCTGTGCTCTTCTGACTTCTCTTGCAGGTACATCGTAAAGGAGGACGTGTGGATTGGGGTGAGTGAAGTGCTCGGGTAAGGTTGACGGACACTCTTGCGTGCAGTTCCGCCACGGCGAGTAGTCACTCGGGAAGACAGGTTGAAGGATGTAATTTTCTGAAATATTGACAACCGTACCCGTCAGGGGGCTTCCATCTTGCTTGACACTGTCACCCAACTTGAAGGCTCGACTGACGAGGACAATGTCATCCACACCGACAAGGGAACAAACTGCCACAGGAGCGTGAGCAAATTCGACGTAGACATATCCTATCGGGGGGACGGAATTGGTGAGAAACTCGTCGAGGACATTAGGCGGGACAGAGTCATGAGTTACAATCACGTCGCTTGCTGCGTAGGACGCGGCAGGATCATTGTAAGTGGCGCGGACGAGACCATAACGGGAAACATCTTGTTTGAGGGCGACATGGTCAGAAACAAAGAATGACCGCATCAGTCCTGAGGCCTTTGACAAGATCCAACAAGTCAATAGTCTACCAAGGTCAGTCAGATGAGCTTTTCAGAAGGATCAACGAAACGGTAGTTTGTAGTCGGTTGTGGAAGACTAAGAAGAGTGCGAGAGCGAGGCTGGCGGGGGGATTCATGTTTGTTCCCGAATAAGAAGGTGGCGCGTTACATATTACGAGGCTGAACACCTTCCCTTCCCTTCCCCTGCGAATGCCCTGCCGTGCCTGCCCATGTTGTTAGGCTGCAAACACTACAAGGGTGAGAAACAGAGAGGGCAGTGAATAACGGACTGATTCATCCTGTTAGTCATTTAGAGGATTTTCCATGACCGCTGGTTTTACTTTATACTTGGATGACATTTTTTGCTCTGTAGCCTCCAACGCAGTTCCCCGTGGCAGACACTTGGAGGTGGCTTGTCTCCTTCTTACAACTCCTCTTCCATTACTGCACTGCCCCACGGATGAGAGCCAATCTACTGTGCCTTCTCGCTCCTCTTGCGCAAATACACCTCTAGTCCCTCCTGAACGACGAAAAAGGTGGAATGATACGCCAACGGCCGTCCAGGATGCACCAGGGTGACATCGTACTCCCTCAGGATCTGGATGAGAGTCTTATTCATCTCAAACAGCGCGAGATTACGACCAATACAGAGGTGGCTACCGCCTCCGAACTGTGATCCAGGGAAAGGAAGGGAGTTAGCATCTAACTTGCCAAAGGGGTTTCTTCTGGAAGGAATGCCGGTGGAGAATATGGTGAGGGGGGAAGGAAGAATGGAACATACCTGATATAAATGCGAACCCATCAATTTAGCATCACGCTCAAACCATCTCTCTGGTCTGAATTCGTCGCAGTCGTCCCCGAATATCGAGGCATCGCGATGCAGAACCCATCCATTGACGGCAACCTCGATCCCACCCGGGTAAAACTTGCCGTCGATTTCTACTCCTTCCGGCGGAGTTTTGCGGTATATTCCCAACCCGACGGCCGGTCGGACTCGCATGGCTTCCTTCAAGCACGCCTGGAAGTAAGGGAGAGCCAGCGCTTCCGCGTAGGTGACGATTTCAGACAGTTTCCCAGCCTTTTGAGCCTCGTCGATTTCCTGGCAGAGGTTGGCGTAGACCTTGGGAGCGTTAAGCACCAAGTAGAAAAACGATTGCATTGTCGACGCCGTGGAGTCGGATCCCGCAAATCTGCAGCAACGTATAAGCCCAGGTAGAGAGGAACACTGGCCTCCTGCAGCAAGCATCACTTACACAGCGCCATGAGCGATACTAAACACGTCATTCACTGAAAACTTCTCAGGGTTTGCCTCATGTGCTCGCAATAACTCGGCCAACAGATCGATACCTGTTGAATCGAAGGTTCCGTCCTTTTGTTTGCGCTTTTCGAGCTCGGCGACCGCAATTTTCGTCATCGTCGTTGGTTTCATTTGTAAGCCTAGGTAGGGCCGGATTGGGTTGTTTCGAAGGAGGATGTCGTATTCCGCAATGTGACCCACGATCCCGTCGTACCATTGGACGTCGTCGATGTTCTTGATTGAGCCCTCAATATCGACTTCTTGTTCCAAGAAACCAAATTGTCGTGAAAAGGCCACTTCTCCAAGTACCTAGACCCAGCTTAGCCAGCGTGTTGGAAAAAGGACTGCGATGGTCCGTACATCGAAAGCAAAGTAGTGCAATAGGTTTCCCAGGTTGCAAACCCGTTTGTTCTCGGTAGCATACTTCTCCAGATGCTCCATCAAAAGCTTGATCATGTCCTCGATCGGCCCTGATCGTTTCTGCATCTGCGCAAGGCTGTAGGGAGTGACGGCATAGCGTTTCATCTGCGCATGCTTCCATTCGCGAACTTCTGTAAAGATATCCGGTGCATGCTGCGACGCGCGACAAAGTCAATGTCCGCATCTGCCATGGCACAAAAAGATGTCGCATGATTGGATCTCACCTTTGGCGGAAAGACGCTGTAAAACATGGTCTTATGGAAACCTTTGCCCACGGCAAAAATGTCTTTGGCCGCATTGCAAGTGCCGAAGGATACCTCATTGGGGGCCGTGCGAACCACGGGTCCTGGCGGGCAGTGAGATTTTGGGGGCCCTTCCAATGCGTTTTTGGAGGTCTAGAACTTACCGTATTTCTTGTGCAGAGCTATATGGTCCAACTCGGTGTGTCCATTGTATGTACTCCACACTGTTTGAATTCGCAAACGTCAGCCCACGATAGGAAAACAAAAAGTGAGACGAAGAGAAAGAAGTACCTTTCCAAAGCCTCGAACACGAAGCCAGCCACGGGCCAGGCACATTGCGAAGAGGAGATGCGTAACGCTTATAGAGGGATCGAATGACCAGGGAAAGAAATGCTAGAAGCAGCAGATTTGCCTTCAAGAGGGCCAAAACTTGGGCCACGAGAGAATGGCCGGGTGATGGGTTCTCGACCTTCATCTTGTGAGACGGTCTCTCGACACCCGCTGTAGCCTAGAAGAAGAAGCCCGGTAGAGGCAAGAGTTGGAGGAAAAACAACAGGAAGAAGAGGCAGAGACGTCAGGAATGAACCCATCATCACTATATCTACAGGTCTATTCCCCCCCTCCCCGCGCCAACAGGACTTGGTTCGCATTGCTCTGCCGGTGGCTTCTACTCTGCGATCGAGAAAGCTCGTGTGAGATCGTGCCCCCTGGCCACTCCATTTCATCCAATAGGACCGCCACTGGCGTAGGTCGGAGGGCGGCAATTGCAAAAGAGAAGATTCGGCTGACGGTGATTGGCACATGGTCCGCTCGACTGAAGAGGTCTGGGTTCAGCCCATGGATGGGTAATGGGTACTGGGTACTGGCAACTGGGTATCTGGACTCGCTGGGTAAAACCATTGATGTAGCAAAAGCCCCGCCGAAGTCACCCACATCGGAAAACCCCCGTGAAACATCGGCAGTGGCACTGGCACTCTGACCCCACATTGACTGTTTATGGAAACCCCCATGGTGTGGCACAGGAGAACCCCATGTGGCGATGGCATTGTGGCTGTCCCCTGTAGTTGAATGGTTGGCCTTTTCATGAAGAGTGAGACTTGGGCGTTGTAAAGGCACAAGGCTGTCCGTCCAGGGGGCCGAGGCTCACATGTTCAGGTCAGGGTAGGAGGGGAAGCACCTCCAGGCATTCAAGAGTGGTTTCGGATTCCAAACTGCACATTCTATCCTTGCTATGGATTTGTTCCTAGAAAGTAGCTCTTCCGTCTAGTCTGTAAAGCGCCATCAATCTGGCTTGAGCCAGAGTATAAGACGACCGATACCCCTTTTAGACCTCAAACTTCTCTCCCACCAATTCCTCACTGAGCTTCCACAGTTTCTCCGCACCCTCCATGCTCTCCGCGTACTCATATGTGTTTTGGCACTGGCAATCTGCCATATACATACCACTCTGCGGCTCAATTCTAGGGTCCAAGGCAGCCACCAGAGTTGTCGAGATGCCCTGCGCCATACTCTTCGGTGGATCCTGGTCGATAGGGAAATGTCTTCCAGTATTCTTTTGCGCATATGCTTCAATACTGCCAAGTGCCTGGACAACATCGGAGATATGAGCTCCCAGTTGAGTCTCGAAGATCCCGCCAGGGTGGACAGCGTAGCTCTGGATGCCACGGTCACGCAGCTTGTTCGCCAGATACAGCGAGAAGAGAATATTGGCGGTCTTGGACTGACCGTAGCCAGACCAAGCGTCATACTCTTTTCCGTCAGAGAAATTGTAGTTGTCGAAGTGGACAGGACAGATTTTGTGGCCGAGACTGGTGAGGTTGACGATTCTCGCTCCACGCCCGGCGGCAAGAATCTTGGGGAACAAGAGTTTCGTGAACAGGAAATGGCCCAGATGGTTGGTTGCGAATTGGATTTCAATTCCTTGCTTGTTGGTCGTGTACTTCTCGATGGCCATGATCCCCGCGTTATTGATGAGGATGTCGAGCTTGGAGATCTTGCCGTTGATGGTGGCGGCAGCGGCTCGGACGGAATCAAAGTCGTCAAGTGACACCGGGACGAAGTCGACCTGGATGGAAGGGTTGATTTCTTTGATCCGTGATATGATCGACTCCACCCGTGTTTGGGAGCGAGCCAGGAGGATCAAGTGTGCAGGGTTACCATGAGCGAGTGCAACCGCAGTCTCCCCTCCGAGGCCTTTTTCACTCGCACCCGTTATAACGACTATAGGATAAGTGGGTTGGATTGTCAGTATCGCAGGCTTTCTCCGCGGACTTGAAAAAGGCTCAAGCGAGAAAGAACGTACTCGTCTTGCCCTCGATTCTATCAGCGAACTCCTTGACAACTTCATCACCAGTGGTCTCTCGAGTAAAAGTCTTCATCTTGACAGGGCTCCTGTGAACACCTTGGGAGAATCCGGTTGGCTTCAAAGGATTGTTTGTATGTCAAATTTGGTTGTGAAGCTGCTTCGACAGATGTCTAGTGATATACTGCACGAATTGTTCATTGTTTGGAGGGCGAGGGAAAGCGTCCATTGTATTAAATAGCTTCTCAGACTAGGCAGCCAGACAGTGAAACCCGTCAAACCCAGTAGGAGATATCCTATCTCCATGCTCCGTCGTGGCATGCTACTTTGGACCGCTTCCTAGGCCGGACGAAGGCCAAATCGGAATGTTCGTGCACGACTGCGAGTCATTGTAATGGCTCCTTCCGCAGCTATTCTGGAAGTATCCTGAACAATCTACTGGAAAGCCTTCAACAAGACAAGCCGATGGGCTTGATCAGGAAAACCTCGACTTGCATCTACGGTCAAGTAGCTGGACACAATTCGGTCGAATGCGGCCGCACTTCAGGTCGCCACCAACGCGGACTTTAGTTTAATAATCATGACGACAACTGTCAGTGGGTGTCAGCGACTCACTTAAACACCGTCATTCCCATCTGCCCAATCAGATCGGCAGTCTCAATAGCCTGACAGTGCCTGAGTACCAACACGAGACGTCGATCATCAGATGGGAAGCCAAGGCGTCCTACAGCACACACAGGGAAGGAGCCAAAAAAGTGTCGTCATATAGGTCATTACTAGTGGTAGTACCAGCCCATCAGGCTTGAACTTAGAAAGAAATAATGATACACACAACTTGAAGCGAGTGTTGATACTCATCATGGGGTATCTCCAAAAACAAAATAAGCAAAAGAATCCAAGCCACAACCGACACATCCCAAGACCGTTCACTTCATTTTCTCTCACTCTCCCTCTGCCATATCAATCTGATTCTCTGAGCACGTATATCGTCCGGGATGGGTATATCCAACATGAGAGAAACCTGGGTCATTCTTTAGATGTTCTCGATAACTCGGGCGTTCATGGCCTGCTGGAAGCCGTCGTTGCTGTCCATGTTGAAAGCATTGCCAGTGTTGGACTTGGAATTGTAACCACTACCCTCGCCAGTGGTCTGGTTTTGCAGCATGGCGTTCATGTCTGTGGGTATGGTCTGGTTGGTCGCTGGTAAGAAAATGACCTTGCTATTGGCCGTCTTGGCCATGGCTTGCATGGCCTCGAGATACCGGATCTGCATAGCAGGTGCAGAGCTCAAAATGTCGGCCGCTTGTCTCATAAGTTTGGCCGATTCAACCTCTGCACGTGCAGCGATGACCTTGGATTCACCGATTCTCTTAGATTGAGCAGCCATCGACAACGAGTCTTGGAGATCGTTGCTGAAGATGATGTCCTTGATGAGCATGGATTCGACCTGGACACCCCAGCCGGCGGCAACCTCCTCAATGATCTCTCCAATGGACTGTGCGATTTCTTCACGTCGTTCAATCACATCCTGAAGCACGCGGGCACCCACCACGTGACGAAGGGTGGTCTGAGTACGTTCCACCAAGGCTTGACGAATATTGGAGATCCCAAAGGCGGCTTTGTGGGGGGAGGTAATGTGGTAGTAAATGACCGAAGTCAAGTTCAATGTGACGTTATCTTTGGTCATACAGACCTGTCGAGGCACCTCAACGATTTGTATCTTCACATCAACCTGAATGAGGCGTTCGGAAAGAGGATTGACCTTCACCAAACCGGGATCGACGGCGCGCGCGAAACGGCCAAACTTGGTGACCAGACCGACGTTTCCTTGCGAGACAGGCTTGTAGGGATTGGGACAGATGATGCAGCACGGAATGGCGCCCAGGCAACCGATGCAATCTCCCAAGGTACTGACTGCGCAGCATGTTAGCAGTGTGGTCCGCGCTTCTTGAGTCTCGGGTATCGATATACATACTCATAGAACCATACCAGCCATGAACGTCATCCTGATTGTCTTGTAGAGTTTGCGCGTAAGAGGGTTGCAAGTCCTCCCGTCGCGGTGGCTGCACCTTGATAACACCACCGTTCTGTGGACGAAACCCGACTGGGTTTGCGGCAGACTTGCCAGTGTCGCCCCCAGACTCACGAGGAGAATCCATTGTTGAGGGGTCCGATTCGGAAACTAGAGGACGCGTAGACGACGACAGGATGGGCGATGGACGGACGGTTGGAGGGGACACGCACGCAGACGATGGTGCGAAGAGAGAGTTGTCAGAGGGAAATGGAATAGAAGATTGTGGTTCTGTTTTGTCGTGGGAAGAGTTGCGACAACGCAGGCCGAGGATGGTGTCGGGAAGAGATTACGAGTACGAGAACCGAGTAGTAGTAGTCGTCATGGATATGGGGGAGTGATATACCTGTTGTATTCGTGTGAGAGGGAGATCTGAACGGGGGTGGAGGTAGCAGCATGAGTAGTGGGAAGCTAGGAGGGAGAGCGAGCCGTGAGACCGGGGGAATTTGGCAGTGTGATTGGCGCCTTGAAAGTCTCCAGGGTCTTGAGTTCTAGGGGTGGTGGATAAACGGGTACCCAGGGTGCCAGCACCACCAGGAGCTTCCTGCGCCCGAAACTCATTCTGAGGCAAAACACTATTTCTGGAAGCATGGAACCCCCCCTCCCGACCCTCTTTCATGCCAATCCCTCAGTCACGGGGCGCGAAAATGCTCTCATGCCACTGACTTTCTTGCACAGGTATCCGTCTCGCCGTACCAAGCTAACCGAGCATTGGAGGGTACGATGATCTTCCGTGACTGAAATGATCAATTGAAGGCTTTTGTGGTCAGACTACGAGTACGAGTAAGAAGTAATCTCAGAGATGCTAGGATCCCTCATCCTATGGTTGAATCGGCACGAGTCCCACAATCGTAAACTCAGCCACGAAGGAATCAACGGTGCCAAGGCAAGGCACACTTACAACTGGCAGTGTTAGTAACGGGCGAAAAAGGAGGTACGAGTAAACTTGTCCATAGTAAGAATGATGGGAATGTCCTTGTACCGAGTACTTGGATCAAACAGATTTACTGACGTTTCATTAGTAACAGATCATCACCAAGGTAATGTTATCTCTGTCATCGCTTCTACTGTTCCACTCCTACCAAGAGTGTCGAGTATCGCC